TAAGAGAGGCCTCTCATGAGCAGAGTAGTAGGATGAGGACAAAACCCTGGGGAGTCCCAATCAGAGTAGGAAAAACACGAGGAGAGAACATCATGAAATCCAAGGGAACAGAGCGTTTCAGGAAGGAGGTGTCTCGTGCGGCAGAGAGGCGACAGGAGATAAAGAATGAAGAATGTCCATTTGGATCCGGCAACCAGCAGGTTACTGGGGCCCCGTGTTCACAGCGAAGCCAGCCCGCGGTGGGCCAAGGAGTGGGTGGGCAATGAAGGCAAGCGGCTTCAGTACAGGCGCCTGGAGCACGGCCCGGCCACCTGAGGAGCTCACGAGCAACATAAGCTTCGCCTTGGGAGCAGTAGAGGATAAGGACACTGGTGTGCATGGTAGTGGTCGGTCAGGGTAAGGGCGTCAGGGGGTGGGCACACAGGGGGAAGGGAAAGATGGCTACCAAAATTGCCCAAATCAGGAGCCAATGGAAAGGCCTCTGGGTAGCTATGGCACCAGTCCCCTGACACAGGGAACGCCAGCTATTTGCAGGAGGAGAGTCAAACAAAACTAAACCAAACCAAACCAAACCAAACCCAAAAAACAAAACTGGTGGTCAATGCATCTGGGCCTGGAATTCATGGGAAACACACAGTTTTTTTACAGAGGAGAAGCAGGAAGCAGGCTGCAGATGAGGAGATAAAAGACCTGGGGTGTTTCACGTGAAACTCTCTAGCTAGGACACAGCGGTAAAACAGGGACAAACAGCCTTTATGGGAAGGGGGGGAATCCCAATATTCCCCATGGTTTGGGATTATCTGTGACAATGCTCCTTTAGGTGGCATGCATAATTTGGAGCTCACCATGCTGTATGTAAACGCCAGCCGGAACACTGCAAAAACAGGGAAAAGTCTGAAATCGTATTAAGGAATACAGCAGGCTCGGAACAAAACACACAGTCCCACCAGCTCCCAACTCAAGCACACACCGATGCAGTACAATGCAGAGACAACTTGCAAATCCAGTAGGGAAAAAATGGGAAGAGGTGGAGATGGAAAACGGATATTTTTTGTTCAATCTAATGCACCCCCACCAAAAAAATATACTAGGGAAGAGAAAAACTCCAAAGAATGGTTCTCCGAGTTAATAAAACATCCCCCCACCCCCTGCCCAGAAAGAAAACTGAAAGTCAAATCGTTAAGTCCAAATTTCAGTGTCCAGGGGGAAAAAAAGAAACCCTTTCTTTAACATTAGCAGGTATGCTATCTTTTAAAGTTGACATTCTCCTGAAGGAGGCTAAGTAAGTTTCGCCACTGTCCGGCTAGTGAGCTTGGCCAAGACACTTGCGGCATAGAGATAATACGGACCCTGAGAGAAGATGCTTTGGAAAAGTACCAAAGCAGTACACCAATGTTAGGCAAAGGCTTTTTTTTTTTTTTTAGATTTTTTTATTTATTAAAGACAGAGAGAGCACAAGCATGGGAGAGGCAGAGAGAGGGAGAAGCAGACTCCCCGCAGAGCTGGAAGCTCGACGTGGGGCTCGATCCCAGCACCTGGAGATGGTGACCTGAGCCGAAGGCAGACACTCAACCATCTGAGCCACCTAGGCGCCCCTAGGCAAAGGCCTTTTACCAGGCAGGGCAAACCCTCGGGAAAGCAGTTTGAGAGCGCGTAAGCCAGAAGGGGGTTGGTTTGCCATTGTGCAGGAGCATTAGGTGTTGTGTAAATGTCCTAGTCAGTTCAAGAGGCCTTTGGCAAAGGAAAAGTACACACTGCCCAGCAAGCTATGTACTTGATGTTTCCCCAAGGCAGGAGGCAGGCCTGCCAAGGGCTGCGGCATATCTCTGGGGTGACCCCGACCTTCCATTCCCCTCCCAGCTCGCAGAGCTCGAAGGGAACAGCTTGAAATCTAAATGGGGCCCGCTGCTCAGCTAAGGAAAACAGTCTCAAATCTTTCTGACATCTGCACAAAAGGGGTACTGAGGGGCTGTCCTGCAGGGTCAACAGTGCTAGAGCCAGTTTAAACAATCCTGCTTGGCCCTGGGAACGCAGGGGGGTAGAGAGAATGACGCAAAGGGACCCGGTGGCCGGGGTAGCTTCAAGCATCCGTGCTCACAGGGTCTGCCTCATGCGCACCGGCCTCCTGATCTATCTGGGAAACAGGACATCCCTGGTCTTGACTCATGAATTACAGCTTGGTCTGGTTCAGTAACCTGGACAAACATTCCCAGCAACTACAGACTTCACAAACTCTAGGATCATGTTTAACTGGGTGGGCTCTGAACCTTTTAAATATTGAGAAAAAAAAATCAGTGCGGTGATATTCTATTTTCCCCAGTCCTGCAGCCCTTCAGCCACTCATGTTTCCAAAGGAGAAGACAGACGAGGGCTCCAGATGCTTGGAAGCCAAATGAAAGCTCCTTACTGAGGAAATCCACTGCCTTCCATCTTCAAAGATCAAACTCTCAGCCAGAGGTTAAACAATGCGGTCATCTTTGGCATGTTTGTCTGGTGTGGAACTAACTTCTGCTCAGATATATAATAAGATTTTCCACTTTTAAAGGCTCTGCACCCCCAACCAACAGCCCGGATCTGCTTCGCAGTTCCCTGGTGGCGGGGTCTGACCGACCTGCCTCCTGTCCTCTACAATCTGCCGGGAAATGCCCTTTTGCGGCAAACTGCAAATCTCATCTGCTTCCACTTGGGCCATTTTTTATTTATGATATCTTTGCAGAGGAAAGGTAAGTCAGTCAGAATCACTCATTACGAAAGTGGGCAGAGGACATGTCCAGGAAATTCACAGAAGAAATACACATGTTCCATGAATATGGGAAAAGACGCTTAAACTCACATGTAGTCTGGGAATCGGGAGGATTTTCACCCATATTAGCAAAAATATCAAATGTGGGCAAGGGCATAGACACGTGGGCACTCCTGTACAGTGCTGATGGGAGTGTAAATTGGAGTATTCTGTGGGGTAAGTGAGCACTAGCTTTGAGAGTTAAAAATTTTTACTACCTTGTATCTGGAAATTCTGATCCTATAAGTACAAGAAGGTCTGTTTGCGGATTTCCACTGGGGCACTGCCACTTTTTAAAACAGGAAACATTTGGAAACAACCTAAGTGTTCATCAAAAGGGGAATGAATGGCTGGATTAAACAATGGGGGAGAGAAAAAGATCTTAAGGACATATTAAATGGCTAAAAAAAAAAACCCCAAAACAAAACAAGGCACAGAATATATACTTATGATTGTAGTTTGGAAAAAAAAAAAAAACCAGAAAATGAAAGTATTTTTATTCGTATTTCTACGTATCTCTGATTATGTCCAGGAAAAGACCAGAAAGACAACAGGGGGACTGGATTCTCAAAGGACACTTCTGCTTCACTTCTATTGCTTGCATGTTGTTTAAGAATGTATTCATATATTTATTATAGAACCATCTTTTTTCTAAAGTGTTTCCTGGTTGAAGATCAGAGGCAGAGGCATGGGCCTCGGTGGCTACAGTGAACATGACTTCTCCAGGAGGCAACAGTGGGTAAAAGTAAATAGGCAAGAAATCAAAGGACCCAGGTAATAGTCTGAATCTGTCATCAATTTGCCCTGTGACCCCGGGAAGTCATTTTCCTTCTCAGAGTCTGCTTTCTCTATACAATCAGTGGATAAGATGAGAAGCTCACTAAGACACTGTCTCTTTCTGATATTTTAGGATTCTGTAAGTCTATGCCTTTAATGTATAATGGGTCTGGTCCCTTTTGATGAGGAGATGGCTTTTTCTCTTCCTTCAAATTCTGGCATAGTTTGATATTTCACTTTACTCCAAATGGAAGATAATGAAAGAGAAGGTGGAGTGGCCACTCTGTTCCCTGTTTGGCCATGTTTTTAAGGGTCTGGTTGACCTATTTATGCTTCCTTCCTTTGACAGTGTAAGCTCTTAGGCGTTTTTGAATGTGATCAGAGTGCAGACACAATGCTGCAAGTCAGAAGATCTGAATTCTACAGGATGGCTATAAATCCCGGGGACATAGATTATATTTCATTTTGTAAAAATGGAACCCCCTCGAATGCTTTTTTTCCGAGTTACACCAAAGATGTCGGTTTATTCTGTGAGAGTCAGGGGTACAAATCATCTGGGGCAATGCTTCCCATATACATACACAAGGGCTGATGGAAACACTCTGCTAACACACTGTACTCCCTGCAATTTGCCAATAAGGACCAAGACACTGAATATATCCCAGAACGTTTTTAAACAAATCCTAGCTTCTAATATAATATCTACAAATCATTCTTTATGGGCAGTCACCTGGATTTTTGGACTTTAAGGCTACCCTGGAAACTTTTTTTTTTTAAGATTTTTATTTATTTATTTGTCAGAGAGAGAGAGCTCAAGCAGTGCTCACATCCCTGTTGTATAGATAACCACTGGACTGCTTGTTCCCCAGAGAGGACCAAGTGGCTAAAAATGAGCTATGAAAATGTACATCTAGGGCACCTGGGTGGCTCAGTCGTTAAGCATCTGCCTTCGGCTCAGGTCATGATCCCAGGGTCCTGGGACCGAACCCCACATCGGGCTCCCTGCTCCGCGGGAAGCCTGCTTCTCCCTCTCCCACTCCCCCTGCTTGTG